GCCAATTTTTCATCAATTTAGTCAACTCTTTATTGTAGTCCATATATGATTATATACTTAATCCATGATAATTCTATGATTTCTTTTGTGTGATGTAAATTTAATGGTCAACATAAGTTTATACAGGGAAAGAACATCTCAATATTCATAAATCGATGAAAACAATGAAAGTTAATAATATAGTACCTCCATTTCTTATTGGATTCCTAAAAAACAACATTTATAATGATGTTTAATAATTTTTTTGAATTTTTTTAAGGCTTAATCCGATCAATTCGGCCCAATTCTCGATCCCAATCGCAGATTCGTCGATCCGAATCGGTTTTTGAGATGTCCGATCCGAATCACTTATCCGTTTTTTAAACCACTGGTTTTAACAATCGACAGTAGGGTCTCTTTCATACAAAGCATAGCATGCACCTCGTCCATCCGTTCCACTGAATAGCAAAAAGTTATCTTCACTATACAACTTGTGCACGTCCATATCTCTCCAACTTTCTTGATTGAAACTAACTTTTTTTTTTTTCTCAAGCGACTGATAAATTGTAACGTCTCTCTCTCTTTCCCTGTCCATTTTATTTTGTGTTGGAGATTGAGTTCAGAGGAAAAGATGGGGTTTTTGATATCTATGTTTCTCATGTTAAGTTTAGCAACTCACAAGAGTTTGAGTGATAAAATTAGGAGTGATTTCCCTACAGATTTCATCTTTGGGGCTGGAACCTCAGCATATCAAGTAAGTAGAAATATATATATATATATATATATATATATATATATAACCCTTTCTTTTTTTTTCCTTCTTAAAGAAGTAAATACAAATAAAAAAAAAAACTAAAAAAGAAAGAGGATTTCAGGTTGAAGGAGGAGCTTTTGAGGATGGAAGGAAGCCCAGCATTTGGGATGCTCACACTCATGCCGGTTTGTTCTCTCTTCCCCCCCACATCTCTCTCTCTCTTCCAAGAGGCATTATTTGAATATTTTCCATGAAGTAGAGTTTTATGTGTTATTATTTTTAGGATTTGGTAACACATGCAAGATGTCCGCAAAGAATGAATGAATAAATTTAAAATTTAGAAAGAGAAAGACATGGCTAAATTTGGACAAAAATTATGCAGCAGATCAGTCAAATGTTTTTTTTATTTTTAATTGTCTTTTGGTATGAGGATGACATCCTCAAATTGCTTCTTAAATTATTTTCTTTTTTCAATTTTGTCATTAGCAGGACAGTGCCCTAGTGTGAAGATAGTGCCCAATCTAAAGGTAATTTGACGTTGGCATCCTTAGTCCGTTTTATTTCTTAACAAATAAATAAACTAATGCGGTATGAGGATACCAACCTCAAAATGCCTTGAAGAGCACTAGAAGCAGTTCGAAAATGGGCAACTCGGACCGCCTCTAAATGCTAAACAAAGACAATCTTTGTGGTCCGAGAGATAATTTTGAAAAAAATAAAAAACATCATGTTGACAGACCTTCCACGCAATTTCAACCCAAAATTAACTCATTTTATATTTTAATATTTATGTGTCCGTGCATAATTCACTTAAAAAGTAATGCAGCAGTTTTGGACTCTCTTTGTTTGGCAAACAAAAGGGTAAGAAGTAGCAAAAAACAGTCCCGATGCCAAAGTTTTCCAAAACCTGGGAGAAGATGGCTACACAATCAAGCATTCAATGAACACACAGATATTTTCGAACTTTTACCTAAAAAAAGATACTTATTTTTTGGTACGGTTTGTATAGCGCTTAGGCTTTAAACAATAAAATTAGAGCCTACCTTCAAATCGAGTTGAGAAATGTGGTTTCAATACTGAAAATCTTTACGATAGCCTTAAAATATATTTTTATCTTTATTTATAAAGTTTAAAGCTTTCAAAAATAGTGTAGATCAACAGATCTATAAAAACTTGAAAATCTTGAAAATTGATGGTTCAAAATTGTATTACAAAATACACTATTTCCAAAACTTGAAGTTCATTTTTTTTCTGTCCATACATCTAGATGTTGAGATGATCAATTTGAGGATATTTGGGCATCAAAACAACCTCTTTTACTGAATTTTTTGTGATAGGCTCCAAATTGATTGTTTAGAGCCTCGGCTCTATATAAACTTTTCCCATTATTTTTTAACTAAATCATTTGAATAATGCAAGAGAGAGAAAAAGACAGTTTGTTTTTTACTCAATAATGTTCTTTTTGGACTCACATCATTAAGAGAGAGAAAGAGAGTTAGTTTTGGACGCAAATCATTGAATGAGAAAGAGTGTGTTTTCCGTTTGGACTCTCCAATGAGAGAGTGAGAGTTTGGATCACAAGATGCCGGAATTACAATATATCTGTCTATTTCCTATTATATATATTAAGCGAGAGCAACACTGTGTCTTTTTTCATTCAATTCTTATCCCTCTCTCTCCCATATTTTTACGCTCTCTTTTATTTCTCTTAAGTTACTCTTTTCATCTCTCCTAACTTTCTTCATTATCTCTATCTCTACATCCTACATACATGCAAATACATCAAAGTTATATATTAAGCCAGAGCAATACCCCTCTTATTATCGCATTATATGTCTTTTTTATTCAATTCTTATCCATCTCTCTCTCCTATATTTCTACACACACTCTCTCTCTTTTATTTATCTTAATTTACTCTTTTCATCTCTCATACGTTTCTTCATTATCTCTCTCTCTACATCTTACATACATGCAAATATATAAAAATAGGCAACTCTTTTAATTGTGTAATGATTCTTCATCTTCTCTCCATCTCTCCCATGTTTCTATATTAGCTATTTTTTTTAGCTTTCTCTCTCGCTCTTACACATTTCCTTAAATATCTTACATCTTTTTTATCTCTTATCTTTCTTATTTATATGATTTACGGTTTTCCTCTTTACTGTTTCTATCTCTCTCTCTCCCATTTATTTTCCTAAAATCTCATGGGAAAGGTTTCTATGCTTCCCCTACAGCATAGAAGTTTTATCATCTCCCTACCATCCAGCCGTCCAATTTTGATCAAGAGAGCCACTCACCGTTTGATCTTAGATCCGACGTCTCAAAGTATTTTACTTTTAGTTTTTAATTTATTTTTATACAAATTGTATGAATATGAAATTTAATACGTACCATCTTCTCATTGGGGCGCAGCTATAAAAAATATTAAAAATAATTTTTCGATAAAATATAATGACCAAAATACTCTTTAAATCTTTCAGAGATATTTTGGCCATTTTATTTTACTGAAATAATTATTTTTTTATATTTTTCGCTAGTGCAAGTTTAATATAGGAATGGACATCCAAAATTTGGTGTCAAAATAGTCTACAAAAGAAAATTAAAAATAAAATAGTGTAGAGACATGACATTGTGATTGGGACAAACTTAGCCCTCCATTCAGAATGGACGGTTAGATAAAGGGGAGGATAGAACTTCTATGATGTAGGGGAAGCATAGAAAGCTTGCCCAAATCTCATATCTATCTTTTATTTATATCATTTATAGTTTCATCTTTACCATTTCGATCTATGTCTCTCTCCCTTTTTCAATAAAATATTTCTCTCATTTATTTTCCCAAAATCTCTCCCGCTCAAAGGTTCTCAATAGTTTCTCTATCTCTTTATTTTCTCTATCTTAGAGTACCTCTAAAAACTATATAATAGAGAAGGGAAAATATCTCCATACCCCATATTTTTAGGTTTCATTTCACAATAGACTTAAGGTTTTAAAAGATATCTTAGAGCATAAAAATTATAGATTTTATTTCTTCTAATCCCCTGAGCTGCTTTAAACATGTTTTTTTAGGCCAAACAAATCTAAAAAGACATGTTTTTTTCTAAAAGCTATCCTCCAAAACTTCTCTATTTCTCTCTCCCCACACCTTACCCCTTCTCTCTCTCCATCTTTTCCATCCTCCCAAATTTCTCTCTCTCTCTCTCTCTCTCTCTCTCTCTCTCTCGCGCTTGTGACTCCCCCAAACCCCTTTTCTCTCTCCGTATTACCCCCACTCTCTCTCTCTCTCCCCGTGTTCCTCAAACCCCTCCCTCTCTCTCTCTTTATGTGTTTTTCCAACCCTTGTTTCTCTGTGTTTCTATCCTCTGTCTCCCCCTGTGTTCACCAATACAGCAGATGATTGCTCTCTTTGTCGAAGGTTGCCAAGGGGTCTTCATAGAAAAAAACTGATATAAACAAGAAAATAACATGAACATTTCTACAAATCAAATGAATACCCAAATCATACATATATCCATGCTATCAACTGCAGCAATCCTATTTTTTCACTATTGTCATGAGAGATTCCCAAACCAGAGCAAAAAATGCATCGCAATCCATATATAAAGCCCTGCAAACTCCAAAGAAATAATCTCAAGTTGCTAACACTCCAGTCATGTTGTTCATTCCAACGAGAAGCTCCTCATAAGAGAAGGCTTCTTCACACACTTTTCTCAGGGCTGATCTCTTTTACACAGTTGTTGTGCTATATCTCTCAGCAATATCAATTGATGCTTAGTGCTGAGAGGTTACCAAGAAAAGATATAAAGGTGTTTGGATAAACATGGGAAGAGAGAGAGAGAGGTGTTTGGATAAACACGAGACGAGAAAAGATGTGTTTGGATAAACACGAGAAGATAGAGAGTGAAAGACACAACAAGAGAGAGAAAGAAAGAAGTTTGAGGTATATAATGAAGAGAGCAAAGGGATTGGGTTTAGAAAAAGTATGTCTTTCTCACATTTATTTAGGTTAAAAAATAGGTTTAAAGTGACCAAGAGTTGGAAGAGATCTTTTGAAACATTGGGTTTATTAAAAATTGAAATCTAAAAATAGAGGATATGGAGATAGTTTCCCAATAAAGAAACCATTAATTCTCTATTACTGTATGTGATAACTCCCATCTTAAATCTCTCCTATAATATTTCCCTTATTTCAGTCATCTCTTTCTCCTTTAATCTCTCTCAATTTTTCCATCTCAAAATATCTTTTTAGGAAAAACCTCTTCCATCCTCTCAATGGTCTCTCATTTTATTTGAATCATGATGGGATAAAAAAACCTTCATTTCTTTTTATTTATTCTATCTAGAAGATACCTATTTAGGATGAACAAGCTGATAGGATGAATCAAAAGAGTTCTTGTTTTGTATCATGGCTAGGTAATGTGCCATGGGCCCCAAAAAGCAATGGAGGATAGAGCGAAGGAAAATGAAAATAGAAAATAAAGAAAAGAAATGAAAATGGATTAGAACATTAACCATATGCCAAGAACCAAATTTCAATTGGTGACACGAGGATTTTCAGTCCTCTGCTCTACCAGCAGAGCTATCCTGACCATACCCTATGCATTGCATCACGCCCCAGCCCAAAAGCCTACCATGCCCCACCTTATCCTATGAGAAAATAATGTATTTATCTCTCTCTCTAAAGCTCATTTATTTACTGATCTCTCACAAGGATTTTTTAGCTCGAAAATATTTTCCTAAGAGAAACGTAAAATGTACGATGTTTGTCTCTATCTCTGTGTACTATATTTTTAAATGGGAAAGCTTTCTATGTTTGTCTCTCTTCAGGTTTGACCAAACCTTGGCTTGGTTGAATGACTTTCTTAACCTAAAGTGGGCATGTTTAAAGCATAGGTTTTCCTAAATCTAGGGTTTGCTCACAGGTTTTCTCTCTAAGTTCGCTCTATCTCTCAGATTTTCTAGCCTACGGGTTCACAAAAATCCCACCCTAAATGGGGCTTATATAAATGCTCAAATCGTATCAGAATGGATATATACCAATTTCAAGCAAATTTGCCAGCCAAATTTTCATTTTGGGGGTCAAAGGGGGCCCAAATCTGACCAAAATTAGCAGTTGTGTTTTTGTGATATTGCCTACTAAAAATCAGGTAGGCAATATTGTGACTTAGATTGGGATTCTTTTTTTAGTAAAGATCGAGCCTCAATTCGAGTCAAAATTTGGAGGCTCTCGGGTCTAGCTATTCCCAAAAGAATTCATTTACAGGTGGCCCATCAATCTTTCTTGATCATTGTAAAGAGTGAAGATGGTAGTAAGATGATGAAAAAGGTGGAAGTAAAGAAGAAGACGATAAATACGGAAGAGTAGCATGAGGTTCCTTTTCGTAAACAGATGCTGAAGTATGGAGGAATTCAATCAGGAGTTACTAGAAATTATTGTCGTAGAATGACGAGGAAATTTCATAATGTCAACAATGGACGGTTTCATAATTTTCAAATTTTGAAAGTACGAAAAATGTGGATATCGGTGGG